AACGTAAATCGTATCTACTTACTGTTTACATGGATTTGTCAGATTTACAGATCATAAAGCGTATCTACTGACAGTTTAAATGGATTTGTTAGATTTACAGATAGAAAGCTGAACGTAAAGCGTATCTGCTTCGTACATCGATATGTCAGATTTACAGATAGGAAATAGGTATTTCATTATTATAATCTGAATATTTGATCTTAGTAACATGTTTTATTCAAGTTTAGACTTGAACATATGCTATTTAAATGGCTATTAAAAAGGGTCGTATATTTCCTTTCTAGACAAGGATTTCATTTCTTACACTTTTAAACACAATTACAAAACAAATAACTTGCGCACAAGTCGATAGTTTCTTTCTTTTCTACTTTATTAATTTGTTTTATTCACAGGAAATTGAAGCACTTAAGATAAGATCAAGTAAACATTCAGCGCATACTTTATTCTCACCTGTATTTGATTGCAAGCTCACCGGTGACAAAACTATTGTAGCCACCGCTTAAGAACGTCGTTCATTGTAACCCCCTGATAATAAATATTTCTGTTATAAATACATCAGCTATTGAAAGAAAGGAATAAATACATCAAGGCAATCTATTTCATAAAATATACACAGATGAATTTTACAGCCAGAAATATGATAATAATATATTTAATATTGGACTCACGTGCCTCTACATCTTGGAGAGAGAGAGAGAGAGAGAGAGAGAGAGAGAGAGAGAGAGAGAGAGAGAGAGAGAGAGAGAGAGAGAGAAGATCTTGAGGCTATGGATCGTATGTAAGGAACATTTCTTATTTTAGCCTCATTTTCATGTCAAATTTATGTGCCTCTGTTCTCTTTTTCTCCTTTTAATTGGTATATTAAGTATATTTTGTTAGACAATTTGTCAGGCATAGACATTACAATGTTTGTATATTTATTTAAATGAACATTTTTGTTCGAAAAGGAAATAAAGATTGTGACTAATGAAAGACAACATTATGTCTTTGTATAATTGATTTGGAAATAAAAGTAGCAGCTCTTTTTAAAACTGTTTTGGCTTTCTAGATCTAATAATAAAGTTATTCTGAAATTTAAACAAACTAGGTTTATTTAGAGTTATTTGATATATATATATATATATATATATATATATATATATATATATATATATATATATATATATATATATATATATATATATATATGCAATAAACTGACGACGAACAGTACGAAACTAGTAACTAACTAGCCTAAGCGCTTTCGACTCTTAATGAGTCTTTTTCAAAGGGAAATACAAAACATATATACGACAAACAAATAAACACAAAAACGTTGTGTTTGTAAACCTCTACATGGCTGTCTTCACATGTGCTAAAACTATAAATACATCCAGCTTGTATAGACTAGTTGCGGAAACTGAAAACGTTGCATAATTCACTAAAGGTCTACAAGCCAAAGCGACATCTATTTTTACTTTTTGTACATATATAACGCAGATTATATCCCGGATATTTGATTCTATACCGGTTATTCTTATAGTAAAAATTGAAGGATAATAGGAAGATTTAGAAAATGTTAAATTCTACTAGTGCATAGTTTTCAGTTTCTAGTCTTCTTGGTTTAGACCTCTTGGTTTCAATGTTCTAAGGCGGCGTATCCAGTATGATTCCTTTTCCTTCCTGGTTTCGGAACTCCAGCTGTGGTTGTTAGCAACAGCCATAAGTATTATATCACTGAAAGTGTGGCCAGGGAAGGAGAAGTGTTCTGCATTTGAAATCATACGATTGACCGTTGGACTGACGGAAAGGATGCGAATTGAAAAATAGTTCATTGCATTTTCAGCTTCTAGGTCAACCCTCGTTTCGAAAATAGATGAGATGACCTAAGTGTTCAGATCCCTTGGTGGATCCAGTACGCTTGAAAGGGTTGTTATTCGCCATATGATTTATATTCTTTATATATATATATATATATATATATATATATATATATATATATATATATATATATATATATATATATATATATATATATATATATATACAAAAAAAAAAACGTTTTTGTTACTACAACAACTCATGAGAACGTTCGAAATACTTGACATGAAATTGAAATTTGAAATGCATGAAATCGTGTAATGAGAAGAAACTTTCTTATATCACTGAAAGTGTGGCCAGGGGAGGAGAAGTGTTCTGCATTTGAAATCATACGATTGACCGTTGGACTGACGGAAAGTTTGCGAATGGAAAAATAGTTCATTGCATTTTCAGCTTCTAGGTCACCCCTCATATCGAAAATAGATGAGATGACCTAAATGGCAGCTCTTGGCATACGTTCGATAAATGATCCTTAGAATTGACCTTGAAGTTGCGAATGGTCATATGTCTCAAGTTAAGATAATATTCAAATTTTGCTTGCAATACGAATATTTTAAAATAACTGTCTGAATTTAGAGTTGTTTGTTCGAGATAAATTTACTTTATCATTTGAAATAAAAATGTTTAATCTTAAAGTTACTTTCAAAAAGTAACAAATAATAAAGCAAAAAAAAAATTTATTTTTTCCGTATTCTCAGATGAAATACTTTTAAGATGTTGAGATATTCCCTGGATTTAATTATTATAATGTAAACTTAATATATTGAAATAATTGGAATTTAATTTTGTCTAAATAGATGTACAATTCTACATTTTGCATGGAAACGTGATGGCAAATTTAAAAATTCTGTAATTATGGCATCTGATGTTTAAAATTTTGCTTTCATTATTCTTTTTAATTCCAACGTTTCAACATTTTGAATGGAACATATTGTAAAAGTTGCCCCTCCTATAAGGTTTTGATTGTGGGGATTGGGGGTGGGGTGCTTCAATTATTTATTTAAATTATTGTTACAGTCCCACCCGGGCTCGATTTTGGTTTGGAAATTTAGTGAAAGTTAGATCTACTGCTCCGAGTCCCCAATCATCAATGCCGACGATTAAATGATTAAAGATACAAAAAGGGTTAAGTTCAATAATAACAATTTAATGACAATAAAATAGTCACTAATTTGAATTTCCCAAATACACTTCTTCCGTTCGACCCTCTACTCGCTTATCGTATAATGTGATTCGTGGTGTGAGAGATTTCCACCTGTCCTTGTAATCTACTCATGCGTGTATTCCTCTCTATCTCCTAATTCCTTCTCTTCCTCCCTGACTCCCTCCAAGTTCATTCTCCTCCTCAATTTCCTCATCCACACTACTTTCCTCTTCATCCTTTTGTTATCCCTCTTTTCTATGTCGAATATATGTTGTCGACTCCGACTGCACTGTCAGTCTCACTTCCGTCTCTTTCTGAGAGACTCGGGCCTACGAAACTTGCACCGGAAGATCTGTTCCCCCAAAAAGCTTCCTGTGAAAACACACGGATGTTACAATATTTTCCTCAGCAGTTACATCTCACACTACACACAGCCTATCATCAGATAACGGCTTTCAAATGTCTTCTGTCACGCATTCATTCACACGAAAATACGCATACATTCTTGTATGGTAAAACTGCAACATAATAAAACAACATAATAAAAGCACGGTATCAATTACTCGTATACATACTAAAATAAATGGATTCACATCAGTACTTACTCATAATTCCATTATCCAAACCAGTAAACAACAATCAAACGCATATCTTTAATCACTACTCATACCAAAATATATAAATATTCCAATATTCATTCTCTGATATATTCAAACATCCATTATAACTAATCTTACATAACATATTACTAAAGGCACTGGTTACTACGAAGCTCCAGCAAATTACAATATTGACTCTGACGAGCTAGCAATCTACATAATTCTCTACGTAGACTCAAATTCATGTCTCAAATACGCTTATGAATGAAACACTACAAGTCAATTTTACATACTAAAACAATCTCAGTAATTAGGTATACATACTACCAATAATTAGAATTATGACGCGGTAATGTTTTGCAAAAATTGAGCAAATAACTTGCCTACTTTTCCTTCTCCAACAATTCTAGTCCTAAGATTCTAGCCAATTACAAGTGGCTTTTCTCGGAGTAATCCTATTTGCACAGCGATCTGGGCATCTGTTGAACTTTTTACAGCGAGTTTTAGCTCTAATTCTGATCTAACGTTTAATGCCACCGTATAGCTTAATTCTGATTGGATGTCGCTGTGGACTGTCCCAATCAAACTTAGTGATCAATGTCTTCTCGCTTGTCTGTCTACGTGGAGGGTGAGAAAACGCCCCATTCACCCTGCGGAAATTTTTTGATCTCTGAACCAATGGTTAGCGACTGGGTATGGGGACTACAAGCCCTTTACTAGTGGCTATTGTATAGTTTGAGTGGCTGGCAACTTGCATATGGATTAACACTGGCTTGCGGTGTTGTAAAAGCAGTATTAATATCCAAGTTTATACAATTCCGAATAACCTGGACTGAGCAATCGTGACAGATATGATGTCATAAAATGACTCCTTGTCCGTAATTAATAGTAGTAAGGACTTCAAATATATGACAAAACTTTAGACATGATGTCTCTACATCAATATTTAAGAGAGAAATATTATGAAGTCCCTGATAAAAATCTTGCCTGCTGAATTTTAGTTTTCTCAGTGTTGTCCAAGAAAGGCGGAGAAAGAGATTTCTTCTAAATGATCATCACATGCGTCTCTTTAGCGACAGCATTAGAGAATATGAAAATTCGTTTACAATCTGCTTATTACAATTATCGCATCGATCACGTCAAGTAAACAACGTTACTATAGTACCGCGTGGGGTACATACATATATAGCTTCATGTTGTCTGTAGATAAACAACATATCTATCTCTCCGGTGGGGAATGAAATAATAGATAGATAGATAGATGCGTGTGTGGGATTTTGATTTTCCACGTAGCTTGAACAATTTTTCAGTCATGTCGCTGCAATATCTACAATAACGTCTCAATGCTGAGCTGCTGTCGAGGCAGCTATTAATGCAATTTTGATAAGTCTTTGGTATGACTCAACCGTGGTTTGAACCCGAGACCTACCCTATTTGAGGCGGAAGCTTTAACCATTAGGCTACTGTAGCGGTCGATAGATAGATAGATAGATAGATAGATAGATAGATAGATAGATAGGTAGATAGGTAGGTAGGTAGGTAGGTAGGTAGGTAGGTAGGTAGGTAGGTAGGTCGGTCGGTCGGTCGGTCGGTCGGTCGGTCGGTCGGTCGGTCGGTCGGTCGTAGATAGATAGATAGATAGATAGATAGATAGATAGATAGATAGATAGATAGATAGATAGATAGATAGATAGATAGGTAGGTAGGTAGGTAGGTAGGTAGGTCGGTCGTAGATAGATAGATAGATAGATAGATAGATAGATAGATAGATAGATAGATAGATCGGTCGATCGGTCGATCGGTCGATCGATCGATAGACAGACAGACAGACAGACAGACAGACAGACAGACAGACAGACAGACAGATAGACAGACAGACAGACAGACAGACAGACAGATAGACAGATAGATAGATAGATAGATAGATAGATAGATAGATAGATAGATAGATAGATGCGTACATAGCTAGAACGCTAAATTGCCAGACAGACAAATATGTTGGCGTTTATATACAGAACTAATTAGCTAGAGAGAAAAATATGCAAGTACTTTGCTAGATAGTTACATAGCTAGACAGACAGATAAATAGGTAGGTATGTAGAAACAAAGCTAGATAACAAGAGAAACCAATAGATAGGCATATACATAAAAAGCCAAATAGATAGATATATAAATATGTAGCCATGTATAGCGAAAACTAAATAGTTAAATGGATAAATAAATTTGAAGGAAGACACTAACATATAAATTAAATTGTGCAGTACATTATATTATACATAACCAGATAATAAATGTCTTCCACTGAAATAATTGTTTGAAGGTAATTCATTTAGAATTATCATTGTGCAAGCAATTATCAGTTGTTGTTATTGTTGGACTTAACGCCATTTTTCAGCACACGATAGGCTATTCATGGCGGCCATTATCGATGGTGGAAGAAGAAACCGGGAAATCATCGGAGAAAAAAACACCGACCCACGAGAAGCTACTGGCAAACTTTCTCACATATCCACATTCGCCGAATCCTAGACTCGAACCCACGCAATTATCAGATCTTCCATAACAAGTATATGTTATTATATAACTAATTGCTTATACAGATTCGATAGCCATCATGTTTTAATTATCAGCATTAATATGCTGATCCTGTTATTGGAAGTTTTGTAAAAGTTCTATTCTGTAACTAAGCATTTTTATGTTTAAAATTATTTACGTATACCTTTTACGACATCCAATATTTACAAAAAAGTTTTTCAGCTCATTTTCGACGCGTAAAAAATGTCATAGCTGCTTCGCGGACTCCGGTTTTACTTAATGTTGTTGTGAGAATTATAAACTTCAAAGCTCGAGCAAGAAAAGTAGGGTTGACAGGAAAATACTTGAAGGTATCATGTTAACGCTGTAGTGTACTAGGGTAGATATTTTTGTAATGTGGTATACTAACAGGAAGGATTAATCGATGAACCTTGGTAAGGTTCTCTGATAAACAGATATGCACGTTTGCTGTTTATTTTAGGTCACGTGCCTTGAGTGTTCATGTGTGAGCTCTCGTCCCCTGGACAATATATAAGGACGTTATGGGACAAAATCTTATATATAACGCCTGGGCGTAAAAGAAACATATCGGAAAACTGGTGTACAGGTAAATGCAAACATATCCCGTGTTTCCGTTTCATAGAGATATAGCATATCTTGTTCAACAGCTGCGGAGAATCATACACTGTCAACTTTATATACCGGCGATTTAAGGACTTAGGGTTGTTTTTGTTCTTTTTGTTATGTCATAATGAGTAGTTGTGTATTTTATGCAGGTATAACAGCACAACTAAAGAAAATATCTTGGTCTACAGCTGCGGAGAAGCAAAACCCGTGAACTTTGAATACCGGCGATTTAATGACAGAGTTGTTATTCTGTCTGGATCGCTACGAGTAGTTGATTTTTTTTTATCCAAGTATAATAACAAGAGTAAAGAAACTGTGCAACGCTTGACATTTGCTAACAGACAAGTGCGAGCTGTTAGAGACAGCGGTTTGATTTTATAAGTATGTGACAGTCTACCTGTAGAGACCATGAACATCAGTGCACTCTTGCGAAGAGACGTATCAAATCAGAACTAGCTGACTAGATCATTACACTAACCCCCAAATGAGTGAGCGGACCTGATGGAAAGCATCTAGGTGGACGTAGTAGGGAACTTGATTCTTTCCATGATCTGATGAAGCACGGAATGACAACACTGAGGTTGGTTGTGCTTGGTGCAGAATCTGTTGGAAAATCAGGTAAGAAACGAGATATATACTGATGTATCCGTGTTTCAATGGAATTCAACTTCTAGCACATCTTTGTTATCTACATCGTCTACAGTATTCCCTATCTATTGCATGAACTTTATGTTAATAGTGGACCTGGCCTTTTCGTTGCCCAAAACTTAAACTAGATACTTTGACTATGAATGTGTTGCAGAATAACATCAAAACTTTTTTACAATTAACTCTTTACATGCTCTCTCTCTCTCTCTCTCTCTCTCTCTCTCTCTCTCTCTCTCTCTCTCTCTCTCTCTCTCTCTCTCTCTCTCTCTCTCTCTCTCTCTCTATATATATATATATATATATATATATATATATATATATATATATATATATATACATATATACATATATACATACATACATACATACATACATACATACATACATACATACATACATACTGGGCATATTGATTTAAATAGCCTTATAGTTGTTATGTTTGCATATATTTTTAAACACTAATAGAGCGTATGATGTCATTTTAAAGAGTACATAAGTGAGTATCCAACAATGTAGGCAAGGCGACGGCACACACAGCTTAAATGTTTAATAAGGTAACATTTATATGATGCCCCAGGGTCTCCTGAGTTATCGATCTCTTTTCAAAATAAAAGTGTCGGCAATCTCCTTGAATGTTTGCTTTCAGGAGTTGAATGTGTCTGTAATGCAATAAAATCGATAGCGTGAAAAAGAAAATGCCAGTATCATGTATGTATGTATGTATGTATGTATGTATGTATGTATGTATGTATGTATGTATGTATGTATGTATGTATGTATGTATGTATGTATGTATGTATGTATGTATGTATGTATGTATGTATGTATGTATGTATGTATGCACTTCTACAATAGGTAGATATGTAGGTAGTTTTCTAAAAGAGATGTTCAATCCCTATAGGTTCTTGTTTTTATGCTAATATGGAGGAAGAATAATATATAGAGATGAATACATAAAAATAGAGCACATCTTAAGGGTCCATGAATACAGTTTTTCTTTTTTTATATGATTATGAAATTTGTTTTGCTAAAAATTAGTTGTTAAGGTTAAACAACATTTTGTGGGTAAATTCTATTTAGAAAGGATGCAGTCATATAGTACTCAAAACTGATCTTGTATTCTTGAATCTTTCCCCTATCCTATGTATACAAATGAGGTAAATGAGTAATGCGCAGGACTCGTAAAACCGATGATCGCGGATTCAGAACCCGTCCATGCCAGCTTAGGTCGTCTACCTCAGTGGGTTCTTTGGAAAGGTACCAATCTTCCATGCCTCAGCATGGTTTGACCGCTTTTAGTGTATTAATCATGACGTCAAACACGACCACCCACCCACCCTGGGTAAACCCCAACACAGTGATATGATCTTACATATACCTCTTTTACGAATTTCGATATCATAAGTAATGTCTTGTCAATCTATTTGATTTAAGGAGAAGTCAGAGTATTAGAAAAGGAGGAAATAAGCAGTTCAAATGTCTATTGTAATACTGATGAAGAAATTAAAAGTTCTAGATATGTATGTGGGTTGAGGTTGAAGCAAAATATATAAAACTGGTGTTGTTTACTTTCTGGGCTGACTTGGGGGAAGGAGGGTATGAAAACCCGATTCCCTTGGATTATGAATTCGACGCTCAGCTAACAAATCTGCCGCGGTTCTTCTTGCATTTCTGACACAACAAGGTACCGACAGTAGGGTGAGGTGGACGCGCTGAAAACAATAATTCGCCTACTTCAGATTGTAAACACAGTTTGTGCAGGTGTGCAGTGTGATCAAACGAGCCGACTCAGACACGATAACAGATGGTGGCAAAAAATATCTTTCTGTTTATGTGTGAAAACAATTTCTATCGAACTTAACACTAAAGCAATTTTCACAAATTTTATTTCTGTTTAAAACTGTATTACACTTCTTATCGGAAATAAAGACTTGGTTTTATTAACTTTCTTTATTACTTTGTTACAATTCTCTTCAGCTGCATGCATGGTACTTATGTTTAGTCACATTCTTATATCCACCATCTTGGCATGCTTTCATAATCGATTCGTTCAAAGAGTTCGATAGTGACCAAGGGACAGTGAACGACAGTGTGCTACCTTTATTTTGCTACACTTCGAGAATTAATTACAAGTGGATTGAATAGAGTTAAATGCACAACGCTGACTGTTTGCCAATTTTTCGTTAACATTGTCTCGGTCTGGGAGAACGTACAGTAAATTATACAAAACCGATATTCGTATGTTTTTGCAACCTTTTTGCTATTTAGTAATTACTAGTATTTACTAATTATCACAAAACTATAAAGACGACTTTCGGTAGCTGCTTATAAGAAATGATAATTGGACGAAAGTTTCACAAATTTACTCTGGATCGGAACGATAGTTGGATTGGACCAGGAGAAAAAGGATAGCTGAATTGAAATGATAGCTGTCTGAAAAGGTGTATGGAAAATAAGTTTCATTTAAAGTATTGTTTTCTGTGTGGAATTAAGCCCTTGAAAACACATATCATAAACAATGCTTGCAAATTTTGTTGTGTTTTTTTCACACATAATTTACGTGCACAACTCTCCGTCTTGGAAAAGGACAGTAATAGCCTTAATAATAAACAACATCCAAGCGAGCGGACACTTGGTATTGCAGTTATCCTAGTCCATTTACCT